GAGAAAGAAAATAGAAATATGGTAAATGGTCTGAATTGTGCTGCACTTTTCTGGTCTTGTTGACCACTCAGTTAACACACACATTCATACAGTGTATCTATGCACAGCACTTTCTCTATCACACATCACTCATACACTGCTGGCACGGCTGTCAGGGGCAACTCTGGATTCTGTATCTTTCCCAAGGAAACTTTAGCATGGGGAAAACTGGGATCAGCAGACAACCAGCTCTATTCCCTGAACCACAGCCCCCCCCCCCTTTTGAATCAAATTTATAAATTAAACAGTACATGTATGTGTGTGTTCTCAGGTGAGGAAGGCAGATCCCTCCAGACTGGTGTTCATAGACAACGCCGGCAGACCACAGCAGTCCACCGACAACCTCAACTTCAGACTGGTTGAAGGCATTGATGAGTGAGTACTTCGTCTCAGTGCAGGAGAATACAAATTTCAGATTTTATAAAATAAAATTTCATACTGCCACCTAGGCTCAGTTAATCACACCAGACAGGATGACGAACACTTACAGTTTTGTCTCACAGCTGGCAAAAACTGATGTACGGACATGTTTCACGAGATAATAGAACACATCTAACAGCACATTTCCCTGGTGAACAGCTTTCAAATCAGCAGCACAGAAACGTCCACTGAAGCTTGTTAGGGGTTTGTTGCAATGTCCGTCTGATTAGATTAGTGTGCGCTCAATTAGCCTGCTATTCAATGTGCTGAATGAATCAGGTCTGATAGAAATTCCCTTTTGTCTGTCACTTAGGATTATGAAGCTGCTTCATAAAATGCTCTTACACATCTCAAGCCTGTAAATGAAACTGCTCGTTCATTGTGGGAACTGTTCCCTATGAATTTGTAAGGTCTCAACCTTACCATGTAAATGAAATAATGTTATGTTATGAAATGGTATGAAAAGTGTTTTCCACAGATTAATCCATTTTACTTGTATCTCGGAATCTGTGTTTATGAATCTGGTTCAGGGTTAAACTTAGATTTCATATGATGTTTGCATGACCTGAAGATGAGTCATTCAAAGTTACTGTGCACTGAATCAGCAGCTTGTTTGAGTCATAACAACAACTTTGAAAGGGAGGTTTGAACAGATTGAATGTAAGCGTGTGACAGGGTTCTGCATGTAAAGGTTCCTTTTCTGCATAGACAATGTGAAGAGCTCCCATGTGCATTGCAAGGACTGAATGAACATGCAGTCTTTTGGATACAGTACAAAAAAAGAATCTGCAAGTAAATGCACATCGATACATTTTGTGTCATAAAAGGTTTTATGGATAAATGTGCTCAGTATATGTGCTCTGGATGCTCATGGTCGCCAGAGGATGAGCTTGTAATGTTTCCTGGGAAAATCTTCACTCCATTTATTCTGTTTCATTTAAATATACTGAGGGTATTCAAAAGCTCCCAGAGGAAGGACCTTTATTTAACCTCAGCCAGATTTAAATGACTCACTGAGACAAACATTTGATCTTAAATCGTAAAGATCTTCTTTCAATGTGCTGTAGACATAAACTGCATGAATACTATTACTATATTCCCACTTCTGGTCAGGCAGAAAGTTAAATTAAAAACTCGTCTTGTAATCTTGTCTTTTCTGTACTTATCACCAGTTACCGACACTAAAATAGACCAAACTTAATGCCGTTTGCTGTTTGTCTTGTCAGGTTTCCAGAAAAAGCAGTGTCAGTGCTACAGTCTGGCTGCCTGGAGAGTCTTCTTCTGCGCTCCCTTTACACAGACAGGGAATTCTGGGACAGCCAAGGTGGGGTTAGCGGCCTCAGGCCTCTCATCCACATGGTGCAGCAGAGAGGGAAGATTCTCCTCCAGCACATCAGGGACAGAAAGCTCCAGCTAAAGAGAGACCTGTGAGCTGAGCTGACCGGACTGCAGCAGAAACTTAACACAGGCTTCATGTTGATGAGCTCAAGCGGATCAAAAAAGATCGTTCTGCAGCAAAAGGAGCAAACATGACTCACAGGAGCACATTGGACAAGCTGGGATGTAAAAGAAATATTGGGGGTTTCAAAAATATTCACGCTGAAAATCACATTTAAAACACAGGAGTTGTGATATTGTTCCAGCAGGGCCACGATAAGACACAATACAAGTGTACTGGTGCAGTGTGTATCTGTTACGTATAAGCCAAGGACTGAGTGTATTCTGTTATCAGTAGTTCTGAAGAAAAAGGACATCACCATTTATCATCTCAACTCACTGAGTTTTACTGTTTTCCTCTGGTGCTGTTTTGTTTGCTAACCTTCATTATCCCTTGTTATTTCAGCAGGCTGCTGTCAGACCTCTGTGCATCTATCAGAGAACAGTGACATCTGTTGCTTGACTTGACAATAATTCAATTGGCCTTTGCAACAGTTTCTTAGTAAACAGAAAAAAAATACATCAAATATAAAACGATTTAAGTGCACAGCTTCAAACTCTAGAGGGGGCCGGTGAGAGCAGCAAAAGCAGAGTTTTTCCACTTTTAAGTAAACCACCAAGTCTGCAGTCAATAGCCTAGATAAAAGGATTGCTGCTCTTTTATTGTCTTTAAGGTTCAGTGTGTAGAATTGAGTGATTTCTAGAGATGAAGTTTCATGTTGCAGCTGAATACTCCTCATCTGACCCTCCCCTTCTCAACATGAGAGAGAACCTGTGGTGAGCTTCAGTTGTCATGAAAACTCAAAAGGTTTTAGTTTGTCCAGTTTGGACGAGAGTAAAAAAACATGGCAGCCTCCACAGAGAGGACCGATATAAAGGATTAAATATAAAGAGCCCAGTCTATGGTAAAGAAAACAATTCATACAATTTAGATGATTACACACCAGTAAAAATCCCTTTCATCTAAATCTCACACTCTGGACCTTTAAATAAGTTATCTACATTTATTATTAGTTTTTCATGAGAATAAGTCTGCAGTCGTAATTGATAATACATATTTAATAAACCAATCCTCTGCTGACCAAGTGGTTAGAGAATAATGGACTAATAATGGACTCCTGCTGGAGGAGTACAAACACCATCCATTAGCTAATGGCAGAACTGATCTGTAAAGAATTGATAGATAATTTATTAACCATCAATAAAGCTGTTAGTTACAGATTATGAGCCCTTTAAAAAGAGTGCCTTATGAGAAAGTGGTACTAACATTACAGCTAAGCAGATGTGGATTGTGTGGCAGAAAAAACATGACTACAAATCACAGTGAAGTCACAGAATGTTCAAAGTATTTTAACATCAAAAATGTGTCTTTAGAGGAAAAACAATTGTTATTCATGCTGCACACAAATAACTACATGATTCTGCCGTGGTAACACAATCAAAGTAAAGGTGTGTCTGTGCGTCGTGTTTATTCGGCATAAAGCTAAATATACACAGGCGCTCATGTACAAAGCATCTCATTCACGCTAATCTTTCAATCATCTGTACCAAATGAAATGCCCCTGCAGCTCTGTTTGTTGCTATGAGATGCTTGTCATCTCTTGTCTTCTTTCAGCTTTCCATCTACTCTCAGTAACATCTCACCGAATGTCCCCTCGCAGCAGGGAAATGTGAGACGAATTATTCCCGTGCTGCTCCCTTTGCTGAATTTTGTTCAAGAAATTCAGAGAAGAAAACCCCATCTTTTTTGTCTTTTGATATTTTCCAGAGGGCCAGCAGCAGATCAATTTGGATGTCTGTTTTGTGAGATTAGCTTCTCTGCTTCTAATCAAGGGATTAAAAACGTCTGTCAGCGAATAGCTTCTGGACTGGATCCTGGAAGCCTTTTGATAAAACTGGGCCTGTACATATATATATATTTTTTTCAAAATGGCCCTCGCACAGTGTTGAACAACAGCCGTACATAGAACTGCAAGATGAAAGAAAAGGGATTAAAACTGGGTGAACATCTAATTTCCTTAGGGAAGACAAGAGCCGAGGCTTTTTTTATCTGAGCGACACATTTCTGACACTCAACTGTCACAACTGTTTTTTTTTTGGGGGGGTCTTGTGAAAAGCAGATGACATCACTTGAAGTGGTGTTCTGCGTTACTAGCTGATTTATTATTCCACTCATATTGGAGGTTCATGCATTAATGACATTTTCCATGGCTCCCTCTTTCATCACTGAATAAATGGCTCTAATGAGAAACAGTTCAAATGTGTGATCCTCTCTTTATCTCCACTTGATCTCACTTACATTAGATATTTTGCTCGTCAAACAGGGTTTCATTTGCATAAATTTCTATGAAGGACTCAGACATACATTATGAAACCTGAGGCAGGTTCAGAACGGAATTATATTTTGAGTTGAAACAAAAATGTCAACCAAAATTATCTTATGTAAATGAGTACAAATACAACATGCAAGGGTGTCGGGCTGATTCTGATGCCAGTAGAGAATCATTCACTCCAGTGTCTTTTTTCTAGCGTGGTTTGTGTGGTTGCCATGCTCACTCAGCAATTAGAGGGGCATGATGGAAAAAGTTCAACCATCATTGCAGCAGCAATCTCTGTGAATTCATGACTGCAGTGGTAGTGACTGAAATAGGGGTGATTAAAAAAGCACTGTGTGACTCCGAGCTCGGTCAATAACACCCTCAAAAATACAGGAGTGACCTGAGTGTTCAGTCCTGGTTATCATGACAAGAGAATAGATAGTAATCCTCTTTTTTATGTCCTTTAATATTCAACACAGTGCTCCCCAATATAGTCAGTTTTTCTAATGGTGGATTGTATGATCATTGTGCAGTAAAACTACTGTGATGATCATGAATCATCCCAGAGGTTAATGATGAAGTATGTGTGTCCCTCTTTGCTGTGTGTGTGTGTGTGT